CCCTCTCCCAAACCCCCCAAAATATTGACCATTTAAATGTGCCAAAGAATACCAAAGTGTGGCGAAGGCATTGCATGTATTTCAGAAATAACTTAAGGCACATGCAAATCATAATGTGGTAATAAATTCCAGAATCAGGTTCACCATATCAGCATCAAAAGCAGGCCCCTCCATCTGAAAATGGCTAGCTCCTTCGATAAGATGGGTTGTGTTATGCCCTGCAGCATCCTTCAACTTGTTCTCCAACTGTTTAACACTGGTGAACCCATCCTTAGTACCCATCACAAATAGTTTTGGTTTTGGAGATTGTAGTATCGCCTTTTGGTGCCTCCCAAAGAGAATTGAAGCAGTAAAACCAAAAGGATATCCCAAGCTCACATAGGCAACTACTTCCTCTACTTGATCAACTGCAGATCCAGCTATTGCTGCTCCTGTTTTCAGGGAATGAGAAATTCAACCATTGAAAAACACACTTATTGAGACTCAATTCTGGACTTAAGTTGGACTCAAAGCTAAATTTCTTTTGTGAACAAGATTCAGACATGCGATAACCCCATGAGGTTTAAGATGCAGTTTCCTTTTACACTCTTTTATTAAGTATTCAGAGATAGATAGTCAGAACAATATGAAACGCACTAACTTTCCATTTTCCCAATTCAAAAGTATGATATGAGGTCTTCGACATCACGGTGTTTGATTGTAGGAAAACGCAATAAGACAACCATTTAAAAACAAAGTAGAACTAAGAACACAGAAATGAAGACATAGCAAACTGGACCAAAGAGTTGAGAACCTATATAAATTGTACTAATAAGGATCTTAAGATTTGAGATTTTCTAGTGCTAAATCAGTTTATATCAAATATTATTTCCTCTCCTCCAGCTCCAAGTGTCTCTTTTGGGGTTCACACTCTTCAAAGAATTTTTTGCGGGTACTCTCGAGTGACCCATCCTATCCACCAAAGTTCAGGCAGATGACCTCATCCGAGGGTTGGGTTTTTGTTGTTGTTGTTGTTTAATTTCTCCTAAGCCCAAATCACATAGTCATCCCTCAAGAATAAGTTTTAAGTGGAACCAAGCGCAAATACAATAGAAAATTCCAAATATAGCACTTGAAACGTTAACTTCTAAAATTAAACAACTTCACTCTTTTTGGTCTAATATTACCAGAGTTCTAATATGAGAGTAATTTTAAATCATAGCCATAAGTTTGGACCTTTCCATCAAAAAATTTGGACACCAATTTAGCATTGGAGCTCCGGTAAATACGAAAACATTTGCTAATGGCAAAAATATGAATGGGCAGAGGAATGACAAAAAATGAGCAATTTCAATAATACCCTAAAAAGTTAAAAAAAGGAAAACGAATCATCAAACGAAGCAAGGATTAGACGCATAGAATATCGAACTGACCTGCAGAGGAACCAACAAGGATAATTTTCCTCGTTGAGAAATTAGTAACAGCCCATTTGCAAACGGAGATAACATCGTTAATTTCAGCGGATCCAGTTAGGGAAGCACGCCCACTGGATTTCCCAGCACCTCTACTGTCAAAAGTTACAGCAATTACTCCTCGATTTGACAATCCTCTGGCTATGCCTCTCATCAACGCTTGACATCCGCCTAGCACGGAATAGGGATGCACCAATACTGCCACAACAACGTTGTCTGTGGAATTGCTGTCGGAGATTGGCTGGTAAACTCGAGCGTCCAAAGTCACACCAACGGTGCTCTCAATGACACAACTGGTTCTGCTGTTGGTACTACCTTGTTCAGCCATGGATTAGGGATAAACTGAGGGGAATAGTTGGGTGCTAATACGCTTGGGTTTTGGGGAAGAATCAAGTGGAAAATGATGATTGGATTTTGGGAAAGAATTAATGAGACTTTAGATTGGTTGGTTGGGCCGTTGGAGGAGTGCCTGACTTTCTATACTTTGAGAAATAAATGCTGAAAGTTTTTTTTTTTTTTTGGCACTAAATAATGTCCCTCCCATTAACGATTTTCTACTGTGTAAAATTAGTCTAATTTGGCTGATATTGTGAAGTCACATAGAAGTATATGAACCTCTTTCAATTGTTCAAAAGCATGTTTGGACAATTTTAATTGCTTAAGAGCATGCAATAACAACAATAATAATATATTCAGTGTAATTCCACAAGTATAATTTGAAGAGAATAGTGTATACGCAAATTTAACCCCTATCACGTAAAAATAATGAGATTGTTTCTGATACTCAGCTCAAAAAAAGTATGGTCACATCAAATATGACAAAGAAATATGGAAGTGGAGAAGCTATAAAAAGAGTAACAACAACCATCAAAATAAGATAGTCGAAGCAAAGTAGACAACATGTAATAATAACATCAAAGAATGGGTAACTTTCTAAAATGTTTTCTTATCATAATTTTGGAATACATGAGAACTTGAGATTAGAGAGAAACTCTAACCACTCCCTACAACTAAGACTAACCTGCTTACATACACTTTTCCAGGTATGACCTTATCACCATCTGATGCCATGGAGCCTTTTCACCACATTTCACCGGAACCCCAGATAATCCCTCCACCATAAGGGATCTGATGATGGAAGATCTTATCCCTTCTAAACAATCCTTCAAGGATGCACTTGAGGATATGAGGTTAGCCACCACAAGTACTTATAACTCTGACTATCTCCCAACAGATACACCACCGGAACCACCAACGACTAACAATCCCATTGCTCTAACTCAAGAAGATAAAGCAAGATTGTACCATCCCCGGCATTTCTCCGTCATTGTCAAAATATTCGCTAGACGGATTCCACACCTAACACTCAAAACCAAACTATACGAGCTGTGGAAACCAGAGGAAAACCTCATCCAAATTGACCTAGGATGAGACATTTTCACTGTTAAATTCAATTTAGAAGAAAGCATGACCAAGGCCCTTCATGGTGGCCCGTGGTTCATATATGGTCAGTTTCTAACAATGCGTAGATGACAAAATTTGACGAGCGTAAAACACACCTTAAATTATGCTCGCTAATCAAATATAGTATAATATAATATCGTATCCACACAGATTGGATTTAAACAATATTCTTGTAGTTTCTAGCTTGATTACTATCCAAGAAGATCAACGGTAGAGATTTATATAATTATTAACTAAAAGTAACTGAGAATCTAAAGCTATTGACTATTAACTATTGAAACAAGGAATAAGCAAATAAGGTTATCAGTGGGAAAAGATAGGGTTTTGACTGGATAGGTGCACGATAATTGTTCAGGATCTAACTCTAGCTAATTCACTTCTAATGTTCAAGTGAGTCTCTCCAATTTACTCAATTATTAGTTCAAATTTTCAGCATAAACTCCTCTCTTGATTAAGTCTCACCTCATAAGATGAACCGAATTAAGCTCTGTGAAAACATGCAAGAATGCATAGTGGAATGGTCTTTAGGAAAATCTCTTTTGATTATTCTCCTAACTAGGTTTAATCAATGATTCAACTAGCCTCTTTAGATTACTTAGAAGAATCTATGAATTCCACCCACAATATAATGTAAAGATATCACAAGTTATGCCTCTCTCGGTTACATAAACTAGTGAATATAGATGCAACACTTAAATCATCCAAAAATATTTCAATACATAAAACTAGAATTATAATCCACAAACAATCATCAATGCACCAAATCTATCAAACCCTAAAGGGAACTACTCCATAGACATGGAGTAATTCATCACAAATATAATTAAAGTATAGGAAAACATAAATATAATCCAAACTCGCGTCTTGAGTGAGGAAGGAATGATGAAATCCTTGTGCTTGTGTTCTTCCAACTCCTCCTTAGCCTTCTTAGGTCGAAAGCATGTCAAAAGTCGAAAAAATAATATTTTTTGTGTATTTATACCAAGTAGGGTCGGGCCTAGAAGAAACCACCCTTTCTTAGCCAAAATAGAAAAATAGCTCTGGGAAAAATATACAAGCGCACTACATAAGGCGCCACGCCACGCGGGGTATTAGGGGAAATCTCCATAGAGCATGCAAAATTCATCAAACAACCAAAACACACTGCTGCGGCACACCATGCGCCACCCCATGCACCGCAACAGTGCAAATTCCTAAGAGTGTTGCTTCTTACATTTTATTGAAAAATTCTTTGAATAAAATGTCGTCTGTCCGTAATTTTTTGAATTCTGCAGCTACACTTAAATTGTGCGGTCTGCAGATGTGGATTTTTTGAACTTATGAGAGGCAAGAATCTGCAACCGCAATTCGAATTGTAAGGACTGTAGATTTTCTCTTGCGGCCGTAGAATAGTCTTTCCTCTGTCATTAGAGAGTCCTCACTTTTGAGGCTCCAATGTGCAGCGCAAGTCAAATTGTGCGAACCGCAGAAATCCACTTGTGGCCGCAGATCATCTAATTCTCTATGATCAGAGAGTAAACATTTTTGGACTCAGAGGTGGAGCCACAAGTCAAATTGTGCAGACCACACTTTCCCTCTACTGCCGCACAATAGAATTATGTGGACCGCAAGTCCCCATCTGCAACCACAGGTAAAATTGTGCGGTCTGCATATCCTTTTCCTTGCAAGCATGATTCAACTGTGCA